GCTGAGGATAACCCCATCTGAATATCAGGATCCGCACAGGACTCTTAAACCACCAATACATCCGAGCCTCTTTGAGGATAACCCCAGATGACCATGAGAATCCGCACAGGGATCTTAAACCAGAAATAAAGAAGAAACAAAGTTGGGCATAAAAAGTTATTGAAGCAGTTTTGGCCACCACTTCGTGTCCAGCAATTTGGGGGAGATGTTCACCGAATTGCTGCACTTTGTGCCTGGAGGCCCGCAAGAGTCAGTCTCAAGTACAAAATACAGGTAGGTCTGTCAGCCCTCTCTACAACGGGGGTGGAACAGCAGCCTGCACCAGTGTCTATGCCGAGCCAGATTCTGAACCTGCAGCCCATGATCAGGCTGACTCCAAGGCACCTGAATCTGCCTCACGCCAGAGGCCTGTGGGTGTCATTGCACAGCCCAACCAGCCAGAGTAGAGGCCATGCTGATCAAGCCTTCGATGTTGTAACAGGTCCTTTTTTTTCCTTTTTTTTCGTTTTCCTTTTCTTTGATAGGTGGCTCCCATCCCTTTTACCTCAGAGGGTTGTGGATGCCATGGCACGGCATGGGCTGCAGGGACTTTTTGCTCAATTGATTCAAAAACACGAGTCAACCGTCAGGTTGCAGCCACCCTCAGGCCCGTTAGGCTATATAAATTATCAATCTCCAGCTACAACTGCTATTGTTTGAAATGAGACATTGAGAATCATGGTAAGCACAATTTTAGAGAAGCAAGGCAAAGTAGATGGTTGGGAAGACAACCATTGCTCGCGGTGTTGCTATGAATCCTATAGACCATCCTGGTGGAGGAGGAGAAGGACGTACAAAAGGAGGCCGGAGGTCCCTTTCGCCTTGGGGAAAACCATGTGGCCACACTGATCACTGATCATGCCTCCCCACGCCAACGGTTCCTGTTGGGCTCAAAGCCTCGAAAACCCTTTTGCCTCACAGGTTTGTGGGCCCCATTACACAGCCTGGCGAACCAAGTAGGGGCCACAACGATCATGCCCCCACTGGCAAAAACGGACCCCTTGGGCATGGATGGTGTCACGCCTACAGTCTTCCCCCAAATACAACGTACGGTCATTATAGTTGAATTTGGGGTAACTTTCAGTCTAAATACAGCTATGATGACCATACGTTTGTTGTATTCGGGGGAAGACCGTAGCCTGGCAAAACGCTAACTAACTCGGTCTGCTGTCCCCCAAAGTAGATGGAGCTTGAGTTGGTTGTGTGGCAAAGAGTAAAAAAAAGAAATTGCATCCCATCCACCATCCACCATCCACGCAGCAGATATGGACTGTACCAATACTGAAGTGTCACGGAAGATATGGACGACCAAAATAACGACCGGTGCAGGATCTGTGAACCCGCATTCCAATAGGGGAACTTTTCTGAAGGTTGGAAATTGGACCCCTGGACATTTCCAAAAAGGGGGGTTGGCCTGGGAAAGTCTGGGGAAGGTCGTCAGCATTGTGTGTGAAGGTAAGGTAAGGTTTGACTGCACCTACTTTGGCACCCTTTTGGGTTCGCAACTTCTTATCAAAAAAAGAAAAAGATGCAAAAAAAATGAAAGGGCATAGATTGAGTGCTGATCTTTCTGGGGAAAATATTAGCAAGAAGTTCCGAAAAAACAAAACAAAAACTGGGTAAATGTTCTGGCCGGCAAAATTTTCCCAAAAAATAAAAATAAAAATGGCGGCAAAAGTACATTATGCATATGCTTTTTGCTTCCTGCTGCTGCAACTGGTAGGCCCAAAACTTTTTGGCGTGGTCCTCCACTCTCCGAGACATGCTCCCGCTTGGTTTGCTTGGGGACCATGGTTGGTGGTTCCAAAAGAAAAGAAAAGAAAAGAAAAGAAAAGGGGGTGACCCCTACACTTATCGTATCGAATCATAATTACATCACGGTTCGGACTCATGAACACACACACACACACACACACACACACACACACACACACACACACACACACAAAGATCTGTTCATCCATAATTACATGTCAGGGTTCAGACTCCCCAGAGCATGTGCAATGCACCCTGAGGAACCCAGGAGTGCAGCCCAGCCAAATGCGTAAGGAACGCCTACTGAATGCAAGAAACACGCTTGTACTACTTAAAAGCAGACTTAGCCATGGATTGTAAATATTTCTTCAATTCATAACTCCCTTGTGGGCCCCAACGACGTAGTTTGTGGGCCCCACATGAACCCCAACGACGTAAGTGGTGCGCTCAGGTTGAGGGGCCCCAACGACATAGGTTGTGCGCCCAGGTTGTGGGCTCCATGCGGGCGCCAAAGACATGGTCTGTAGGCCCCACGTGGGCCCCAACGCCAGAAGGTAGTTAAAAAGTAATTAGATCCACTCTTCAGGATTAAGAAAAACTCGAATAGGGGATCCTGACAGATTATTCCTGCCTGGTGGGACGAATGGTAGACACGTGGGTGCGACTCTTATAAACACCAACGGGCCTAGCCCTTATAAACACCAAGTTGGTACACCCATGAAACTGTTGAGATACAGAACCACCAAGTTTTTTTTGTTTTTTTTTTTACCAAATTCGAATCCAGATGCACTCGGTTGAACAGAACAAAGTAATTCTGAATTACCTGGGACTGGTCAGCTCAGTGATAGTGTCTCTCAAGGGCGTCACCCTTTTTTTTAAACAAAGGGAGAGGACTCTTAAAACCAGATCATGAGATCGAATCCACATGAACAAACCATAGTAGGGGCTCGCAACGTTTAACAAAAGATCCTCATCTTTTTGGCGCCAACTGGTTCTGGTCAAAGCCAAGAAACAATCTCTAACCTTCCTTTTGTTTTTCCCAATGACTCTCTCTCTCTCTCTCTCTCTCTCTCTCTCTCTCTCTCTCTCTCTCTCTCTCTCTCTCTCTCTCTCTCTCTCTCTCTCTCTCTCTCTGCCCACACACCGATCGATAGATTGATCGATTGATCGATCTCAATATCTCGATTTCTGGTCTTCGATCTCTAATCTCCTGATCTCTTGATCTGTCGATGTTGATCTCCTGATCTCTTGATCTGTCGATGTCGATCTGTTGATCTGTCGATGTCGATCTCTCAATCTTTAGACACACACGCACTGAGGGCACCCACTGTGTGCATGCACTTGCACACCTGTGTTGTGTAAGGTCACAGATGACATGAAGACAAAGTAAAAGGACAGCCAAAAGGAGGCAAGAAGGGCAAGACAAGTAAACCAAAAAACGAAAAGGAACGAAACAGGAGGTAGATGAGGAAGACGATCGCGCTGTCGAAAGCAGAATCGTCCTCGATCTCCCCCCGCCGTCCCCCCTCCCCTCTCCTTTCCAGGCCCCATTCTCTCTCTCTCTCTCTCTCTCTCTCTCTCTCTCTCTCTCTCTCTCTCTCTCTCTCT